CTCTTGGCTTCACATCTGTTCCTGCTCTCTTGCACCCAGAAAGTGAAATATGGACTTGCCAGAAAATGAGAGAAATGTTACTGTGGTTATACATGGACAGTTTCCTTTCCAAAGGGCTGCTCAGGCCCTTCTGCAGACTCAGATGGGCCTCACCATATCTGTTACATTTGAGCTGCATTTTGTTTTACAAACAGGGCAGAAATTCTGGTGCAAACCTGTGGCTTAGTGCTGCTGTGGAGGCAGGTTTCCTCAGCATGGGCAGCACACTGTAAGACAAGGCACTAGATTCTTCACCCAAAATAGCAAATCTAAAGCACCCTTTGCAATGGAGATGTCCCCACAACCACAACTATGTGTAAGAGCTGGAGCTGTTGTCAGTGCAGCAACCCATCCTATCCTTCAGTGGCAGCAACAGATAAGACTTTTGCTACCTGATTGAAACCAACCTTTCTGGGTAGGTACAAGAGGTGACCTGGCATCTTAGGAGGCAGGGCTTTTCCCACCAAGTCTGTTCTTATGCACAGTTCACAGGAAAACTGGAGGTGTTGGGCAAGACTCTGATTCCAGCCACCAGCCTTTGGCTGCTTTGGCTGCACACCAGCAACACAAGATACAGAAGATCAGAGGAACACCCTGAGTCAGGGTGTTGCTGTGTTTGAGAAGACTGAGAGAGTGGGGACTGTGAACAAATGTGTTCTTCAGTCTAGTTCCTAAAAGCCCTGTGATTTTCTGTGAAATCACTTGTCCCAAGGTTTAAAAAGTAAAGAAAGCTGAAAGGAGTGATGTCACTGACTAGCTGCACCCATCTAAGCACTCCTCCACCTGGTACAGCCCAGCCTCACCCCAGCTTGCCTGTTAGGTAGCACAGAAACACCACTCTGCAGTGTGAATTTGCTTATCATTGGCACAACCTGTCCCTGTCAGTCTGGAGATACTTTGTTTTAAGATAAAGCAAACTAGGAACATTCTGCTTGTTGCCCAGACTGATCTGTGAGTGACCCCCGATGTCCTGGCCACTGAGGTGCATGGTGAAGACCCCAGCGGGGGCAGACAGGGCTGCCCAGAGATCCCATGTGACAGAGGGGTGTTTTAAGCTTCATGATACAGGTTTCTGAGACTGGTTTTAGCAGAAACCTTGGGGGTACAGACAAACTCTGTAAGCACTGGCAGGGAGCTGAAATGCTGGGGTTTGAACCCTGAGCCCTGAATTAAGGTTGACATAGGGGTGATTCCCACAGCCCTTCATCCAGAGGGGTGAGTTTGCCTTAGATCTTCCCCCCAGGGTGCGGCCGGCCCTGCAGGGAGAGCCAGAAGGGAAATGAGCC